AGCAGTTTTAGGGCATTTCCTGTTTCTATCATCTCTCACTCCTGCTGCTTGCTGGTTTACCATCAGCCTGTTGGATGAACTGAAGCAGTTTTGAAAATTACAAAGAAAATGGGTGATGTGCTGTTATTGTGGGTGTGAAATTCATTAGCCCAAACTTCTTTATAATACAGGCAGTCCTCAACTTACAATCACAATTGGCTCCAAAATTTCTATTGCTAAACAAGACAGTTGTTAAATGAGTTTTGTCCCATTTCCTTGCCGCAGTTGTTAAGTGAATTACTGCAGTTGTTATGTGAGTCATTCTGTCATTAAGTGAATCTGGATCCCCACATTGACTTTGCTTATCAAAAGCTGATTGAAAAGGTTGCAAAGGGTGATCACCTGATCCCAGGGGAGTGCAACTCTCATAAATACATGCCAGTGTCCAAAAGTTGATCACATGACCATGGGGATGCTGAAAAGTGTGGAAACTGGTCATGTCCCTTTTTTTCAGTGCCGTTGTAGTTTCAAACAGTCACTACATGAGTGGTTATAAGTCAAGGACTACCTGTAATTTTGACTGCCTTCTTAGTAGTTCATAATCACAGAGACACTTCAGATCAAGTGGAATTTGGATCACACTGATGTGCAAGAGCTCTTAAACTTTGTTTTCATGATTAAACACGGAGAAGGCAACAAATTATGGGAAACAGCAGCCATTAAGTCATGGTACATAAGATTCTGAGCTGGAATTTGGAACTTAAGGTCTCACAGATAAAATATAACAGGCACACCCATGGTGAAATCCTTGCCTACATTTGAAGTGATTCACTGAGTAACAAGTCAAGAGTTTCTGGCTTTTCCCCATGATTGCCAACAAATACACCTGCAGGATATACAAATTGGAGTAGGCTGGAATACAGATAGTCCTCAGCTTATAATGGGGAAAAAATGACTTATGATCATTTTTCACACTTACAACCATTGCAGCATTCCCATGGTCACATAATCCAAAGTTGAGCCCTTGGCAACTGGCATGTATTTATGATAGTTGCAATGTCCCGAGTCATGTGATCACCATTTGTAAAGTTCCCAGCCAGCTTTTGACAAGCAAAATCAATGGGGGAAGCCAGCTTCGCTTAATGACCATATGATTCACATAACAACTGCAATGGTTCACTTAACTGTGGCAAAAAGATCATAAAACAGGGCAAAACTCACTTAACAATTGTCTTGCTTGGCAATGGAAATTTTGGGCTGAATTGTGGGCGTAAGTTGGAGATAACCTGTATTTGATTAGAATATTGGACCAGGACTAAAGATAATAGCAGTGAAAAATAGGCAAGAAATGGTCAGTGCTTTACTATTTCCCAATAAATTTCTCCTACAGATTTCTACTTATTTTCAGAATACTTGAGAAATTCTTTTGAATTTTCTCTGATTGTGCTTTTCTGATTTTACTGTAGGAAGAGTGAAGAGACTATTAGAGAGTTTATTTCAATTACAGATCTTCTTACCACATTAAAATATCCTTAATTCCATGCTTTCTGAATTGAGAAAGCCCAGTGGGAATAATTGCTCTCAAACCTTTTTTCCCATGGGATTTAAGCAGAGGAAGCTAGGAAAAGAGCTTGAAAGAAAGTCTTGCAGATCTGTTGGCCATCTTATCATTAAAAAAGAGCAAGAATACGCTAATGAAAGACTTCTATTGGAACCCTCTGAAAGAAAATTCAGTGCAAATTCCCTCTCATCAATTTCAATAAGAAGTGATACAAAAGCATTGTGGTTTTTTTCCCCCTTTTATTGAATAGAATTCTTTATTGGCCAAATGTGGTTGGACACACAAGGAATTTTTCTCCAGTTGCATAAGCTCTTGGTGTACATACAAACAAAATCATGATCATAATCAACATAAAAATACATTCATCATAAATCATAAGATACAACACTTAGTGATAATCATAGGATACTAAATAAGCAAACAACATAAATCATACTATGATACTAAATAAAACAATTAATATAAATCGTAAGATACAAGCAACAAAAATATACAAAAAAAAAGAAGATAAGGAGATTGCCTTCAGAAATCATGAGTGCTCCATCACTGGAGGTTTTTAAGAAGAGACTAAACAGTCACTTGTCTGAAAGGGTATAGATTCTCCTGCTTGAGCAGGGGCTAGACTAGAAGACGTCCAACATCCCTTCCAGCTCTATTCTATTCTATTCTATTCTATTCTATTCTATTCTATTCTATTCTATTCTATTCTATTCTATTCTATTCCACATTCCACATTCCATTCCATTTTCTATTCTATTCCATTCCATTCCATTCCATTTAATTCCATTCCACTCCATATCTATTCTATTCTATTCTATTCTATTCTATTCTATTCTATTCTATTCTATTCTATTCTATTCTATTCTATTCTATTCCACATTCCACATTCCACATTCCACATTCCATTCCATTTTCTATTTTATTCCATTCCATTCCATTCCATTTAATTCCATTCTACTCCATGTTCTATTCTATTCTATTCTATTCTATTCTATTCTATTCATTGTTTAGGGTTAGGGTTAGGGTTAGTTGTTTAGCAGAGTGATGGCATGGAGGAAATTATGTCTAGTTGTTCTGGTGTGCACTACCCTATAGTATTGTCTTGAAGGAAGAATTTGAAATAGTTTATGTCCAGGATTTGAGGGGTCTGTAAAATATTTTCAAAGTCCTCTTTCTTGCTCGTGCAGTATAGAGATCCTCAGTGGAAGGCAAGCTGGTAGCAATTGTTTTTTCTGCAGTCCTAACTATCCGTTGAAGTCTGTGTCTGTCTTGTTTGGTTGCAGTGCCAAACCAGACAGTTACAGAGGTGCAAATGACAAAGTCAATAATTCCTTTGTGGAACTGCATCAGCAGCTATTTGGACAGTCTGAGCTTTCTGAGTTGGCGCAGGACAAACATTCTTTGTTGTGCCTTTTTGATGACATTTTTGATCTTAGGTGTCCATTTTAAATCTTGAGATATTATAGAACCTAGAACTTTGAAGATTTCTACTGTTGGTACTGTATTGTCTAGCATTGTAAGAGATGGTAGAATAGGAGGGTTTCTCCTAAAATCTACTATCATACAGTTTTTAATGTGTTCCGTTCAACCTCACATCTGTATGCAGGTTTGTCGTTGTCTTGAATGAGCTCAATTACAATTGTATTATCTGCAAACCTCAGTACTTTAACAGAGGGATCCTTTGAGATGCAGTCGTTGGTATAGAGAGAGAAGTGGTGAGAGCAATGCCAAGCATCCTAATTTTAATCACATGACCATGGGGATGCTGCAACGGTTGTAAGTGTGAAAAACGGTCATAGGTCATTTTTTCCAGAGATGTTGTAACTTCAAACAGTCATTAAATGAACTGTTGTAAATTAAGGACTGTCTATAAAGTAAGGGTTCATCCAAGTCCCGTGAACTAACACCTTTGCATTGCAAGGATGTGCTAGTTATTCATTCTGAATAAGCCCCTCTGCTTTGAAGCTAGGATGTCCTAGACCAGGGGTAGGCAACCTTGACTCTTTTATGACTCGTGGACTTCAACTCCCAGAATTCCTGAGCAGCCATGCTGAGGAGAAATGGAGAGGTTGCCATGCTGAGCCATGCTGGCTCAGGAATTCTGGGAGTTGAAGTCCACGAGTCATAAAAGAGCCAAGGTGGCCTACCCCTGGCCTAGAAGGTATAAATATAACACTACAAAGAACAAAAATGTACTTCTTCCTACTCTCCCTCTCCCCCCTTTTTTAAGTTCCTAATTTTAGAAGTGCTTTAATTGCATCTGCATAGTAAGAATAAATGTACCACTCTTGATCCCAATGGCTGACAGTGATCTTTTGCCATAGGCCAAGGCACCCTAAAATAGGTTTTTAATTTCCCTTATGGGAGGGACTAAGAGGGGTTCAGTGGAACAGAGCTTGGGCTAGAATTTGGGCAGAGTAAGAACCATACTACAGGCAATCCTTGACTTATGACCACAACTGAACCCAAAATTTATGTTGTTAAGTGAGACATTGGCTAAGTGATTTTTGTCCCATTTTACAACCTTTCTTGCTACAGTTGTTAAGTGAATCACTGCAGTTGATAAATTAGTAACACGGTTGTTAAGTGAATCTGGCTTCCCCATTGACTTTGCTTGTCAGAAGGTTGCAAAAAGTGATCACGTGACCCCGGGACAATGCAATTATCATAAGAATGAAGCAGTTGCCAAGCATCTGAATGTTTATTACATTATCATGGGGATGCTGCAAGGGTCGTAACTGTGAAAAATGGTCATAAATCACATTTTTCAATGCTGTTGTAACTTTGAACGGTCATGAAATGAACTGTTGTAAGTCAAGGAGTACCTGTGTGGTACTTTTTCTCCTGTGAAAAGTGGAATGGAGGTCTGGCATAGGTGTGCATTATTTGCTTACATAGAGTAGGAAAGCATCTAATATATTTTCTTTCAGTGTCTATCTCAAAAGATTTATTAACTTCAGATTTGTGACATTATTTGAAACTTGCCTTTTAACTCTGCTCATTAGCCTAAAAGTTTTCAAAATAAATTGCATACAGTACAACCATCCAGTTCATCCTTCAAAAGCTTTGTCTCATTAGACAGTTTGATGCTTAGGTAGTTTAATCTCTTTTATAGCTTCAGAAGTTTCCTTTATTGCCATAGGTCTGTTCATAATCTCTAGACCTCTGTACAGGTAGCCTTGACCTTACAATTATGGTTGTAAGTTATGCTGGTCGTTAAGTGGGTCATTATGTGACCATGCCTGATCTTTTTTGCAGCGCCATTAAGGCCACATCTTTGCTGGGAAGTGGGTGCTGTGATGGCCTGACAAAAGTGCAAGCTGGGTCTGCAGGAGGCCTCTCGGTGGGGTGTCTATGACAATTCTCCACAGCCAACTCACCACAGCCTCTCACCCAAACATAACAACAGAATGAGGAGAAAATTCAAGTTAATACTTCTTAATATTTTGTTGCATTTCAGGTGCTGAACCTGTTTCTTGCCTTACTGTTGAGCTCATTTAGTGCTGACAATCTTTCTGCGCCAGACGAAGATGGGGAGATGAACAACCTGCAGCTGGCCTTTGCCCGCATCAACAAGGGGCTGAAGTACCTCAAGCGTGCCATGTGGAATTTCTGCTGTAGGGTCCTTCGACAACCAAAGGCGACTGCTGAAAAGAAAGCCATGATGAAGCTCGTGACTCACAATCAGCCGGTCATGCACAACTGTGTCAATAATCACATGGCTAATGAGTTTGTCAAAGAGGAGCAGAACCAGAAGGAGAACCACACCAGCAATGCCAGAGGTGCCACCAACAAAGTGGCTGATGACCACAATAATGACTTTATGACCAACCCAGACATGTCCATTTGTGTCCCTATTGCCATGGGCGAGTCAGACATTGAAGATGATGAGCAAAGCACATTCACGGAAACAGACCAGGTAAGTTTCTCCTTAAACAAATCATGGATGTGGTCAATGCAGTTTTAGGGAAACTATGAGAAAGAGGTGCAAACTGCGTAACAACCTTCTCCAAACACAGTTGGGAATCGAAACCGTCGTAGTCCCAACACTCCTGGTGTGTATAAAGAGTTTGAAAAGGGCTGTTCATACATGGTAGTATGGGGTAGAGATATTTTTCTATCTGTTGGGTTTGCTGAGCAGGTGCAGGCAGCGGATGTGGCTCTGGAGAAGTAGATAATAGCAAGCCCAGAATTCATATAGGATCTCAGCTTGTGGGAAAATTGTGCCACACTCATTGCCTGTGTGACTAAGTGGCACCCATTTTGCATACTCAAGACCCTGGAGAGGTGACGATATTAGAACCATCCAAAATCAAGGCACAAACAATATCATTGATGCTTTAATTGTTCCGGATATTTGTAGATGTAAATGCCAAAATTGGAACATCCTTCTGTGATAAACTCCTCTTTTATATATTACAAGCTTTTCCCTTTATAAGCGTAGCAATGGTTGCCATGGTGTTCTCCAAGGACACAACTATGCAACTAGATTAATTTAGCAGTTAGTTAGTTCCTCTCTCCAAGGAATCCTGAGAATTGTGGTTCACTGTGAAAATTCGGGATCACAAACAGAATTCTCAGTACCAGTATGAAAATTGTAGGGTCCTTGATTGGAACTCATGAAAGTTAAGAAGATATAGTGGTCCAGATACAATCTGACAAAACAGGGTTTTTTTATTGCCTTGTGTTTGTCTTTGAGGCCTTTCCAAGTAGAAATGGACTTTAATTCATCATTCGATGTTGTGGTTTTTTGGGAGGGAGCTATGTGTTGGATGCTGATAGTTTGTGAATGGTTTATGCAAGTTGTAAAACACAAGAAAGCTTCTGGGTATCAAATCTGAAAGATTTTTTGGTTTGCGTTGTTGAAAATTAACCACTGTGAAATACTCACTGATGACTGAAATGTTGCTTGGGGATGATATGCAGGCAGTAGTTGTAGCTGATTCAGGAAGTATAAATTCAGAAAAACAAAGGAATGTGTGCTTTGGATACCCTGAGAAATAGTGGACAGGGACTTGCACAACAAAATAGGATTATAATATGCATAGTCTCTCTCTCTCTCTCTCTCTCTCTCTCTTTCTCTCTCTCTCTCTCTCTCTCTCTCTCTCTCTCTCTCTCTCTCTTTATCTCTCTCTCTCTCTTTATCTCTATCTCTCCCCCCTCTTCATCATTGAGATAATTAGACACACATGATACAAATGAAAAAAGAGAGAGAATTCTTGCGATTTTGGATTTTGGAGAATTCCTGATTATTTTGAAAAGTCAGAGCATTGTGAAAAATGAAGGCAGAGTCCTTCCTAATGGTCCCGAAGCCTGAACAAATGTCCAATATAATTACCTCCTCTAGAACCTTGCTTATAGACAAGGGTTTGTATCTTGTCTTAAAAGCAAGATAGCTAAGCAAATCTTTAAGCTCTCTTTTTAGTTCTCTCGATTGTACTTCCATTTGAATTCTTTCTTTCTTCTTCCCTTGTCTGATAAATCACTGAGGGTTTGAAGATTCATACAATAATGCTATCCTCATACCTTTCTCAATATCTCTGCAACATAATAAGTGAAGTATAATCTCTAATCTCATCAAATATTTCTATTTCCATATCTAATTCCTTCATCCTTCCCCCAGTCTCCTAAGCTTGCTTTCGAAATGCTTATTTGCCTTATAGTTTATTAGCCCCAAACTCTATACCAGTGGTGGCGAACCTATGGCACGGGTGCCAGAGGCGGCAGTCAGAGCCCTCTCTGTGGGCATGCGCACCATCGCCCCAATCCTGGGCCTTCAGCTGGGTTTTGTAAAACTTTTTCGCTTTAGGCCTCCGCCACCATGTACAAAAAAAAAAGGTTCAATCAGTCAATTTCAACTTCTTGCGGGGAAAAAAAAGGTCTTGCAAAGTTGGAATTGATTGATTGAACTTTTTAGTCCCACCCAGTTTGCTGTTACCACTGCAGCCACGCCCACCCAATGGGCCACACCTAGCCAATTGGCCACACCCACCCAACACCCGATGATGCATAAGTGGGTTTTGTGTTGCAGTTTGGGCACTCGGTCTCTAAAAGGTTCGCCATCACTGTTCTATACAGAGAGACCTACTGGACAATCACTTAAATATGAGCCAGCCGTGTACTGCAGCTGCCAAAAAAGCCAACACAGTGCTGGGCTGCATTAACAGAGGGATAGAATCAAGATCATGTGAAGTGTTAATATCACTTTGCAAAGCCTTGGTAAGGCCACACTTGGAATACTTCATCTGGTTTTGGTCACCATGATGTAAAAAAGATGCTGAGACTCTAGAAAGAGTACAGAGAAGAGCAACAAAGAGAATTACGGGACTGGAGGCTAAAGCATATAAGGAAAGGCTTCTGGAATTGGGTATGTCTAGTTTAATGAAGAGAAGATGAGGGGGGACATGATAGCAGTGTTCCAATATCTCAGGGGCTGCCACAAAGAAGAGGGAGTCAAGCTATTTTCCAAAGCGCCTGAAGGCAGGACGAGAAGCAACGGGTGGAAACTAAGCAAGGAGAGAAGCAACCTAGAACTAAGGAGAAACTTCCTGACAGTTAGAACAATTAACCTGTGGAACAACCTGCCTCCAGAAGTGGTGAATGCTCCAACACTGGAAGTTTTTAAGAAGAGATTGGACAGCCAGCGGGTTGGACTAGAATCGATGACCTCCAAGTTCCCTTCCAACTTTATTATTATTATTCAGTGCTTTTTTTCTAAAAAAAAAAAAAAAAAAGGTGCCGGAATTCACACACGTCATACAACCCTCCTTGCCTACCCTACAAGGTTCCATTCTGGGCGTTCTATGAGAAAAAAAGCCCTGGTATTATTATAAAATAATTCTCACTGGGAAAGAAAATTTATGTCAATATTAAAAAATATAGTAGTCTTAATAGAAATAGCACTTAGCCTTATATACCGCCCCATAGTGCTTTACAGCATTCTCTGGGCAGTTTACAATGTCAGCATATTGTCCTCAGATTTTGTCCCCAACAATCTGGGTCCTCATTTTATTGACGTCAGAAATATGGAAGACTAAGTCAGCCTGGCAGTCGGCAGAATTAGCCTGCAATACTGCATTCTAATCACTGCATCACTGCATCATCAGTGCTTAAAAAGATAATGTGTATATTAACAATAAGAAATGTTTTTAAATAGTTGTGTTTTGGAGTTTGTTCCATAAGAGGGATCTAAGAATGAATTTGAAAGCTGCTCTGAAGTCCATCAAAGCTACACATAGTTGTATAGTAGACTGTACTGCAAGTACAATTGTTTCCTAGGTGTTCATTCTAGGGTGATGATTAAACTCTGGTGATGATTAAAAAAAATGTCAAGACGGTGATTATAACTGCTTCTTCAAAGCCTTACTCTTTTTTTTCTTTTATACATGACAACAGTTGTCACCACCTTTAGTTTTTAGGCCCACACTTGGAATATTGCATCCAGTTTTGGTCTCCAGGACATAAAAAACATGTTGAAATTCATTATAAAAAAGATGTTGAGACTCTGGAAAGAATGGAGAGAACAACAGCAAGGATGATTAGGGGACTGGAGACAAAAACATATAACGAATGGTTCCTGGAACTGGGTATGTCTAGTTTAATGAAGAGAAGGACTAGGGTGACATGATAGCTATGTTCCAATCTAAGGGTATGCCACAAAGTAGAGGGAGTCAAGCTATTTTCCAAAGCACCTGAAGGCAGGACAAGAAGCAACAGATGGAAACTAATCAAGGAGAGAAGCAACCTAGAAATAAGGAGAAATCTCCTGAAGTGAGAACAATCAAGCAGTGGAACAGCTGGCCTCCAGAAGTTGTGGGTGCTCCAACACTGGAGGTTTTTAAGAAGAGATTGGACACCTATTTGTTGGAATGGTATAGGGTCTCCTGCTTGAGCAGGGGGTTGGACTAGATGACCTCCAAGGTCCCTTCCAACTCTGTTATTCTGTTTTTGACCCTCACTTTAACATGCCACTGCAACAGGCAGTTATCCATTGTAGATTCCCTTAAACGTTACAGCAGTTTTCTAAGATAATCTCCTATCCTAGCTGTTGTGTCCTGAGCCTGCAAAAGCAGGCTCGGGACGTTGCAAGGTCCCGGGCTGTTGCAAGCTGCCTGGGACCAGACTGAGTGGCGCCAGCCTGCGCGCATGTGCAAGGCGCGGAAGCGCGCCAATTTGTTACCTTTTTGCCTGGGGATTCTATTAAAGGAGGTAGAGAGGCCTGCGAGCCTCTGAGTTGTATCGAAGAGAGCTGAGGAGAATAAAAGCTGTTAGAACCATCAGAATGTGTGCTCTTCTTTCGCCCTTGACTCGAGGACTCAACACTAGTCAATCGCAAGATTTCTAGCACAGTTTTACAAACTGTAAAATGAACATACCTGTGTTTGTGGGGTCTTTGCTGCTCTTTTCACTCTAAAGGTAGCTCACTCCATCAGTGATGGTGGGAATAATGTTGGTGGTTCCTTGATTAGGTTGTTGTTTACTTTTTGATTGTTGGTCTAGTGTTAGTCTTGGCGTTAATCCAGGAAGAAAACAATACTCCCACTAACACCGACAGAGCAAACCACTTATGTATAAACTGAATTTCACTCCTTCCTAGCACTGCTGATATTACCTAGTTGGGTATAAAATGTCTGAAAGAAAGCAACCAAGCTCAGACAACACCAGGGATGCCACAGTTCACTATTCTCTTCATTGATACCTGTTTTTTTTATTGTGCATCTGACAATTTTCCCTAATCTCACAGACATTTCATCTTATCTTGATCTTTTCCTTGGCTTCCCTTTATGTAAAAAAAAAAACCTTGACTGCAAAAAATATAACTATGACACTTCTAATAAACCCTTCTGATAAAGAATTACTATCCTCTTTGAAATATTCACTACTGTTGCTTTTTTGGCAGGGTCATTACAAGCCTTGCAAGAGCTCTTCTTCTTCTTCTTCTTCTTCTTCTTCTTCTTCTTCTTCTTCTTCTTCTTCTTCTTCTTCTTCTTCTTCTTCTTCTTCTTCTTCTTCTTCTTCTTCTTCTTCTTCTTCTTCTTCTTCTTCTTTCTTCTCCTCCCTTTTTCCATTCTTTTTCCCCTTCTCCCCCTCCCCCTCCTCCTCCTCCTCCCCCTCCTCCTCCTCCTCCTCCTCTTCTTCTTCTTCTTCTTCTTCTTCTTCTTCTTCTTCTTCTTCTTCTTCTTCTTCTTCTTCTTCTTCTTCTTCCTCTTCTCCTTCTTCTTCTTCTCCTTCTTCTTCTTCTTCCATATCTGTTATTGGACATTGGCAATCATGTTGGCGATCCTGCTTTTATCAGCAGCCGCACAAAAAAGTGCTGCTGAGTTTTGTCCAAACCAGTCCCTTAGATTTTGAAGCCATGATGTTCTTCTTCTGCCTGGGCCTTGTTTGCCTTCCATCTTTCCCTGGAGGATTACATGGAGTATGCCATACTTTTCTGGGTGTCGCATCACATGTCCGAAATATTCTAATTTTCGTTTTTTAATTGTTTTGATGAT